ACTGTCTTGCCTATGCCGTCCAGTGCCTCCGTCGCGGCAGCCCCTACTGCCACCACCACCGCGTGCGCTGCGTGGGGCTGACGCAGTCCGGCGCGCGCTGCACCGTGACGAGCTCCTCCGAGAACGTGCACGCGCAGCCGCTGCGCGACGGCGAGCTGCACTGCGCACACCATCAGCCCGCGGCGCCATCGTCGCTTGCTCCATCGGCGCCCTGTCCACGCGCCGCGGTCAGCGATCGGGCCATCGTGCTCGGTAGCAGCGAAGATTTCGAGGGCCCGGACGGGCCGCTGCCGCCATCCATCGCGATCGTTGAAAGCGAGGCCAGGCTAGAGCAGGGCAACTGCCTTACGCAGCTACTCCGACGCTTCCCTGCACTTCACTACACCTCGATCAAGTACAGTGACCCCACACTCCCCCACTTGTGGGTGCTCCCGCTCGAGGGGCAAACGGCACAAACGGGCCGGCTCGCGGACTTCATGGTGAGCTTAGGGCTCACTGTGAGAGAGCAAGACCTTGACTACGAGAGCTCCGATGACGATGCAGCCAGCGATGTCGACAGCGCGCGTTGCGATGAGCCGCTGGACCCTGACGTAGAGGCGGAGTTGCCCGATTATTTTTAATAGGCATTGCGGCTAGAATGAATATTCGGTCGCCGCCCCAAACGGGCTTCTTGGGTGGAAAGAAATGCCACGGGCGGCTTATGCCCGGTTATACTCAAGACGGTCTGGTTGAACTCCGCTTTCTCTCTCCGGAAACCTGCGGCGTGGCGCGCCTGCTGCGCACCCTTCGTGTGAGCGCGCAGCGATGGGCAAAACTCCGCACGAGCTCATGCGCGAGCAGATGGACGAGCTGATGGGCAAGGCCCGCGACGTGCCGCTCGAGGAGCGAGAGAAGGCGCTTCCCTCCTTCTCCGACCCGAGCATCGACCGGTTCCACCTGTGCGGTTGCTCGCCGTACGAGCTGCTCAAGGGGACCAAGTTCGAGACGATGCCGCAGCTGCAGCGCGACGGCTTCCTCAAGGAGCGCTCCGAGGCGCTGCGCGTGCAGTGGGAGGCGCTGCCGCAGGAGGAGAAGGACAAGTACGGGTACGAGCGCGAGCTGATGCTGCTGCTCGAGCTGCTGGTGGACGAGCAGGACCGGCGGATCGCAAAGGCCAAGGAGCGGTACGAGCGCGAGAACGCGCTGGTGCCGCCCATCCCGGCCGAGACTCAGGCCGAGATTGACCGGCTGCGCGGCGAGGTCAAGGAGCTGCAGGCGCAGTCCGAGGCGCTCGGCGAGCAGGGCGAGGTGGACGAGTCGATGACGGCGTTCCGCAAGGCGGAGGCGCTGCAGCTGCAGCTGCAGGAGATCGAGCGCAAGGCGCAGCCCCTCGCGGGCAAGAAGCAGTTTGTCGACGAGGTGTCCGGCCTCGTCTGGTCCTCGACCGACAACGAGTCGCGCATCGAGGACCTGCACTCGGGCAAGAT